CTCCCGCCGTGTCTCGGCCTGGACACGGGCCAGGCGCAGGGCTCAGCTGCGCGTCGGTTGGGGTGAGGCACTGAACAGGGGACGGAGTCACAGCCGCGCCCCACCCACCTCTCTCCTGGACTTCTGGGAGGTCCGCTCCAGGACATCGTCGCTGGAGATGTCCGAGTCCTCCGAGCAGCTCAGCTGGCGCCGGGGCCACAGCTCTGGGGGGGCAGAGGCAGAGCAGGGACAGTGACCAGTGGCCACACGGGGTATTCTCCCCACTTCCACACCCACGGCAGCCCAGGGCAGGGGAGCGGAGGTGTGGTTCTCCCCAGTTTGGGTCTGTCCCGCATCCGGAGGCACGAGCCTGGATGCCGACGCACATCCGGGCGGGACTGGGCCCACACGCACCGAAGGGGCCCCGCCTGGCGCCGGCACGCAGCCACTCACCATCAGGCCCTCCCTGGGAAGTCACAGCCCCCCCGACGGCCCCGCCCAGCTGCGCGCTCGTTTCAGAACGTCCTGCCGGGCTTGGTTTCCTTCTCCCTAGGGAGCCCCAGGGGAGGGGTCAGCGTGGGAAGTGGGTCTTTCGAGGGAGCGGCAGGGGCTGGAGAGCCCGCGCCGTGCGCTCTGCCCGGGAGGGGCCCCCGCGCTGCTGTACCTGCTCTCGCGACAGGAGGCGCCCCCGGCTTGCCGGCGCCCCCGGTGGTCCCACTGGAAGGGGTGCTGGGGCGGGGCCTGCCATCGCCCTTCTTCTTGTCCTTCCTGTACCCGGAGAACACCGACTTCCACAGGGACCTGGGCTTTGCGGCTGCTTCCTCCAGGGCGCTGGGGCGGGGCCTGTCCGCGGGCCGCCCGTCGCCCTTGGGCTGCTTCTCTCTCGTGCTTCTTCGGGGGGAGAAGAGGGACGACCTCTTCGTGCTCTTCCCGCCGGAGCCCTCGGACGAGGTGGCCGAGCCGTCCCGGCCCCCTGAGTCCGACGGAGGGGACGGCACCTCCTCACTCGTGGCCGTGTGCGTTGGGGTGGGCTCCTCGGGGCCCCTGCGGGGCGCCGGGGCCCTGGGGGCCCTGGGGGCGGTGGCCACGGTGTCCATCTCCTTCATCCTGCTCAGCTGCCGGGCCATGGCGTCCCTCAGCGCGGGGCTCCGCACCGACTTCTCCCGGGCGCGCATGCGCTCGGCCGCCAGCTCCTTGGCCTCGGCGGAGACCAGCGGCAGCCCCCGCTTCTGCGGCGGGAGCCCACTCTCGGGCCCCCGGCCGCTCTCCTGGGCCAGGGGCAGCTCGGGGCAGGGCCAGCGGGAGGGGGGCGTGAAGAAGGGCTCCTGCAGACTCGAGTCCTCCGTGCGGTCGTCATACGTGTCCTCCACATCGTCCGCGAAGGGGATCTCGTCCACGCTCTCCACAAATGGCTTCAGTGCCTCCTCTGGGGGCGGCCGGGTGGGCTCCCGCGGGGTCCGCACGCACGCGGCCAGTGCCCGGGGCTCCAAGGCTGCGAGCTGCCCCGCCAGGGCCGGCTTCCCGTGAAGGGTGGCGGGCTCCTCGTCGGGAGGCGGGGGCGGCGGGCTGGAGGGGGGCGTGAGCATGGTGGAGTCAGAGGTGCTGAAGCTCTGGCTGCCGGGAGTCCTGGTGCGGGAGGAGCTGCCCTGCAGGCCCAGCCCTGAGCTGCTGGACAGGTCTCTGTGCTCTGCCCGGGTGCCCTTCGGCTCCCTGCCAGGTGGGGACCCCGGGGTGGGCGGGGAGGGCTGGGTCCCCCCGGCGGCAGGCGGCCCCAGCCTCCCGGGGACAGGTGTGGGTTTCAGAAGCCAGGGTCCCTCGCCCTGGGAGAGCTTCTCAGCTCGACAGGCCTGCAGGGGCGTGGGCTGGAACCCGGGCTCGGGTCCAGGGCCTCGTCGCACAGGCGTGAGCCCCAGGCTGCGGCGGATTTCTGCGCTCTTCATCCAGAACTCTGCCACCAGGTCGCTGCGTTTCAGGGCCTCGTCCCCAGGGAGGGGGCTGCCCAGTGTGTCCTTAGTGACCCCTTGGCTCTTCACGGGGAGGGGGCCCAGGGGGGTGGAGGTTCTGGCCGGCACAGGCTGGAAGCGGATGGGGGACACGGTGGGGGATGGCACGGTGGCCTCGGCGGACGGCTGAGGCTGGGAGCAGATGGGGAGGGGGGCCAGCGGGGACCGGCGCTGTGGGCTTGCAGGCGAGGGCGGCGTCCTGGCTTCGGGCTGCGATTGGACGGGGGTGCCGGCTGTGGGCTCCCCATGGGGGAGCTCTGGCTCTGGCTCTGGCACAGGGCTCTCCGCGGGCAATCCCCTCGTGGCAGCTGCAGAGGCGAGCGGGGCTCGGGCGCCCTGTGGGAAAGCAAGGTGACAGGAGCTGCTTAGAAGGCAGGGTTCTGATGGGTGTGCTCTCCCACCAAGGGCCTGAGCTTCCTGAAACACCCTCTCCATACGGGGCGGCCACAATCAAGGGCCAGGAGGACTCCCCCCGTTTTGATCTGTCAAGCTTCAGAGCACCTCACCCAGTGAACATGTGAAGCTTTCAGGTTTGGTTCATCCCAAACGCATCTGGTTCTTTGGGCCCTGAACTGACACCACCCAAAGGATGCTAACGACCAGCCCCAGAGCTCCGAGGTCTCTGACGTGAGACTTAAAACATCATCAATCACAGTCTGCCTCCCAGACTGTCCTTCCTGCCCTGCCCAGGCCTCATTGCAGATGAAACCCCCCAAATCACCTTGCTCCTCAGGACCCCAAAGACCAAGCCAAGTAGCCCCAGGCCTCAAGCTCCAGCCGCCCTCTAGATGGCCTCCCCTAAAACGTGCTCCACAGGACATAGTGTTACTATCTATTTACGGAGCATCCTGCAGTGCACAGTTCAAAGACCACTGGTCACCTGGACAAGTATTTTTAATTTAGAAAATCATACATTCATTTTAGCATAATATTGAGAAAAAACACATCTGTTGTATCAAACCAGTAACCCCACAAATATTACTGTTTTAACATAAAAATAAATTTATGTTGAAAATGGTGTGCTGTGTGGACACACAGAGAACAGTAGTGGGAAGCTCAGCGGTGGGACTGGCGCACAGCAGACCACACCGGGCCGGAGCCCCAGGGCCACTCCTGTTTTCAACAGCCCGTCAGCACAGGGAATGAAAAAACTGGGTTCACACCAAGGCCCCTAAGGAGTCCCATCAGCTCTGCCTCCAAAGTGGGCCCCAAATCCTTACCTGTGCCCTGGGGCTGTGGGCTGGGGAGGACAGGACCGAGTGCTCCTCAGGGGACCAGCTGGGGCTGGAGACTTGGGAGCGACCTGAGAAAACAGACGCAGGATTTGCGAGAGGAAACACCCGCTCGCACTGCAGCGGGGCTGCTCCCAGGGCATCCCGGCCCCGGCCGTGTCACCAGTGTAGGATCTGTGTCCAAAGGTCTAAAGGTGAGCTGCACAGGTGCCACAGGGGAAGGGGCCGTGCAGGGAGGGGAGGGGAGGGGCTCGCACACAGACCTCTCTCTGGGCGCCTTGCCAAGGCCAGCGGTGGCTCCTCCTCGCCTTCAGACACCCGCAGCTCCAGTCCCACTCCCGCTGCCACCTGCCGCAGCTCCGTGTCGGTCTGTGACGGCACGTCGTCCGACCAGTGCTGACCTGCCGAGGGAAGTGAGCACAGACCTCAAGTGAGGCTGTGCTCCTTGCCGGGCTCCCGGCTCCTCAGAGGACAGCCGCCAGGCCACCAACTGCAGCGTGAGGTCCAGCCGGCTCTGCATCCCGGCCAGGAGCTGCCCACTGGTCCCCGTCCTGAGACTCGTCCATCAACACAGCATCCTCTGTGACGCGGAGCCCCAGGACGTCCGCGGCACCCCCTCTCTTTTGAGAGTGTGGGCCTTCCTGAGCACACGGACGGCTCCACAGGAAGGACCAGCCTCGGGGACTCGGAGCCCTCCCGGCCCTGCCGCCAGTTCCAGGCTCCTAGCGCCCAGCCCTGCCCGTTCTCACCTCCCAGCCCAGTCCCTGCCCCTCCCCCTCAACGCCATCTCCTCCTCATACCAGCTTCCAGAGGCAGCAGCTGGATTAAAGGCCTCGTAGGAAGCCCTGCATCTGCTCGGTTTCTCCCCAAGACTTAACGAGCGCAGCCCACGTCCAAAGGGTGGGTGGAACGACACACCTTCAGATTAGTGGCAGAACAAGGAAGGAACCAGGAGCCCTAATGGCCGCTCCTCTGAGCACCTCACTTTCGTCTTAATGTGTGTTCCGTCTTCCCTGAGCTCAGGCCACTGCGGCCCCCTCCCCGGGAGGAAGAAGGCGGGCACCACGGTTGGGGGAGGCTCTGGGGTCCCCGTACCATCGCCCAGCTCTGCGCCAGTGTCCCCCGTGTCCCCATTCTCCGCTGCCTCGCCTTCTATCTCTGCTGGCTCTGAGTCCACATCTTCCTCCAGGTCGTCCTCATCAAACGGGACTGCAAGGCAGAGACGTTCAAAGGAAGGAAGAGGAGAGAGACGGACAGACAGACGACAGACGCGTGGGCAGGGGGCTCCCAGGGCTGTCATGTGACGACCGCAAGGAGGAGAGGGGAGAAGCCTGCCTGGGTGGGGGTCGGTGGGCCGGGAGGGCTCCAAGGGCAGGGTGGGGCCGGGCTGCGCGGGGCCTCCTGAACACGGATCCGGAGGGCACCCAGCTGCAAACGTGGCAGCGGGGCCCTGCACCCACCGAAGCGAGCACGAGCCGCTTAACTCTCGAGAAGGCTGCTAACCCTGCCTTTCGGGGAAGACACGGAGCCCAGGCAGCTGGGGGGCCTGTTTGCAGCCCCACCGCTCAGCCTGGCACCAGTGCCGTGTGCAGGGGGGTGACCGACTGGCAGGGCTGCAGCCCCGCTTGGGAGAATTGAGACACGTACTTTTTTTAAGCGTAAGAGAGAGGGACGAGGGGACGTGGAAAGTTTGTTTTTTGGACTCAAGACCAGCCCTTCGGCGCCGCAAAATGCGGCAAAGCTTCATTTCTCCTGAGCAAGGAGGCTAACGTACACACACACACACACACACACACACACACACTCACACGTGTTCCCAACCCTGCACAAGAAGAACTCAGACTACAGTTCAGGTTACAAGAAGGCAGCGGGAAGCAGCCACAGACGCATCGCGCTGCCTGAACCAGGGGTCCCTCCTCCCAGGGCGCCCTGGGGGCTCTTCTCGGGTCTCCTTTCAGGAAAGGGGCTGGCCTTTGACCCGCACATACTTGGCCTCAGGGTCAAGCCCGGCAGGCTGGGCAGCAGAGGAGCCCGCTGAAACTCAAGGCCAGGCCAAAGGACCACGAGACCCTCGATGGCCAGCAGCCCAGCCTCGTGAAGCTGCGTCCCCGGCGCCCGGGGCTGTGCAGTACCCAGCAGTGACCGTGAGCGGCCACAGGGTCAGAGCACAAGGAAACTGGGGACAAGACAGCCGTGATGGCCTGGAGGTGGGACCCTCTAGGTGCTAGGAATGTATTTCTTGACCCAGGTGGCAGGTGGGTGAGTCTTGGTGTTTTAAAATAATTCCTTAAGCTGTTACTTATCCTCACCACCCCTTCTGTGCACTCGGCCTATTAGGATGAGGTGATGGTGCACACCCGCTCTGGAGAGTGCTGTGAAATCGGTGTGGGACGGACGGGGCAGGGCCAGGACGCCCTCCTGTGACGATGGCATTTGCCGGGACCAGTCCTGGGGAGAGCGCTCAGCTACTTGCACAGACTGAGGCCTGTGTGCGCCAGCACTGCTGCTCACTCATCACACGCCCGCGGAGGGGACTTCTGAGGCCAACAAGCCTCTCCTCCCCGTGCTTCCCGTGGGACAGCGAGCTGGCCGCTGATGGGGACAGAACCCGGGCCCGCCCCATGGCGGGCG